TATATCTATTTCTGAAATATTCATTCCATGGACGAAGGGTTTATTGTTGGTCAACATTCTCTCCCTCTGCTCGCCTTCCTTTGCCCTCAGTGATGCACAGGAGAGAAAGAGAGAGATTATTGGATTAATGGAGGAGAAATGGGTAGAGGAGCTGCGTGTTTGATCGGTCCGGTAGAAGATAGACGTTGATGGGCGGAGATGTTGTCGGAGATGGGCGGAGGCATGCCGGAAGTGGTGGCAGGCGACTCTGATGAACAAGTTATAAGAAGAAGAAGATGAACAATAATTTTGATATTTTAAAAAAGTTAATTTATTTTTTGAAATTTTATTAAATTTATTACTTTTATTGACATTAGATCCCAAAAGTTGCCCTTATATGCTATAATCCCTTAATTTAAAACTTGGGATCCAGATGGGGAGTATGATCCCCACTCCGAATCCACACATTGCCATTGCCATAAATATAGCTCCAATAATTATGGTAATTATAAATGTAGTATCAAATACTAGTGGAAATTATTTGCATATTGATTTTCCTTTATTGTAATAAACACCTTTTTGGAAACAAACTTTTAATTAAAAATTTTGGAGATTCAGGTCCCCGATGAGGAACCTGTCTCTATCAGGGATTGGGGATGCAGGCTAAATTTTTTCCCGACAAGGATTAGGGTCAAAGACAAGAATTAATTTAAAACTCGGGATTATGACATAGAGTATGATCCCTATTCCAAACCCACATATTGCCATTCCTACCCAGGCGGTCATCCCCCAAACCCATAAATATAGTTCCAATAATTATGGTAATTATAAATGTAGTATAAAATACTTATGGAAATTATTAAAATTTTCTAATTATTTATTTGAATAATTGGAAGTTTTATAATTTAACTGTCACTAAATTAAATTACCAAAATCAATAATTTTTAGTGATTGAATTACCAAAATTATAGTAAATATCAAAATTACTGAAAATATAAAAAATATATTTATATTTATTGAAATTAATTTTCCACAAAAAATTAATTTACTACAAAATTTTAATTATTATCTGACAATATCATTAAATACTAATAAATTAACCAAAATTACTGAAAATATCAATAGCTACTTATTGTTAAAAATTGCTGATAATACCAAAATTATTGAAAATGTAAAAAATAAATTTAAATTTATTGAAATAAAATTTTCAATGAAAAATTACCAATAATTTTTAATTAATAAATTTGTATTTATTAATATTTTAATTAATTACCATTTTTAAGTGATTATTGATTTCAATGATTAATTTTCAAAAATTTTTGAAATTAAATTACCAAAATCAGTAATTTTAAGCATCTAATTTTTAGTAATTAAATTTTGCAATTTACCAAAATACGTAAAATTATAGTTTAGGTGTTGATATTTAATGAATAATATCAATAATTATTGAAAATATCAAAAATATTTCACTAATTAATTTAATCACGTTTTGCTTTTGGTTTTTATTTGGTTTATTGGGCATGTAGTACACATTAAGAGTTGTTTTATGATGAATTTTAGGTGGGAGAGATAGTTTAAGAGAAATTTTAGGAGGGGGGTGGTTCCCTAAGTGTTTGGGAACATGTGTGAGAGAGAGAGAAAGAATTGGAGTGGGACTCTAATGAAGAAGAGAAGGCTGCCACGTGACTACATATAAGGTCTAGGTTTTAGGCAAGTTTCCATTTGTGTAGATTGGGAGAGATTATAGAAAAATATTATAGAGAGAGATTATCGGAAAAGATTTCCTAATTTAATGGGTTTTCCTCCTAAAATAATAAAGTTAGTGGATTTTCTTCTTAATTTAATGAGGCAAAAAAAAAAGAGATTGCCATGCTAGGTGGCAATTCCATCATTCCATGGGTTTTTAGAAGGAACCTTGCACCCCCTCTAGAATTGCTCCCTTAGGGTAATGGAGCACAAAAAAGAGTTCGGATCTCCTACACAATATGACCTACACATTTTTCTGTACATCCTATCATAATGTGCCAAGTCAGCATTATACTTTTAAACTTCTAGATGTGTGAACTAGTTAACAGATGTTTGGAAAATTTTCAATTTCTTTTGTTTTTTTATTTTTAAATATTAAAATAAAATAAAACAAAAACGATAAAAAAAACCCTAAGGATTTTTAGGAAAATGATTTGCTTGATCTCTCAAAATAAACTCTATTTCTAATTTTGCAAGAAAGGGAAAATGATAAGATTTGTAGTTTATTTTCACGTTTCCTTTCTTTATTCTATCTACAACTGAGGAAAATCACTCAGATGCCCATTCACAGATCCTCTTTCATGATCTGAAACAAATCTCCACACGGGCATGGGTACGTGAACACCTGAAAGGCTGAAACTCTTCATTTCACTCCGTGTGTACAATCTCCACGTCTTCATACAACATCGCTGCTGTTCATTACTTCCTTTCGGCACCACAACCTGGGAGACGAAGAAATCCCATAATGTGTTTCAACTTTCTGGCTTTTGAGTCTGCTCTGGGTTGTTGCATTTGTCTTAATTTTTCCTTTTTGTAAAAGTCTTCCCATAGCAAATTAAACAGAGAATACAACCTTAGAACCTTATACATAAATTTCCCTTCTTGAAAAGAAATGGAGCGTGAAACCTTCATTGAAGAAGAAAGGGTTTTTTATCATTTTTAATTTATTTTAGTATTTAAAAATAAGGAGGTAAAAGAAACATAAGTTTTTCCAGCATCCCTTAACTAGTTCACACATGTGAGAATTAAGCCGTGCAATGTTGATGTGGCACATTATGGCAAGATGTGTAGGAAAAATGTGCAGGTCGATTGTGCAGGAGATCTGGACTCCACAAAGAGAGAGAGAGACCAGATAACACACACCTATTCAGCGGATCTAAACCTGACCTATCACATTCTTTAACTTAAACATAATGCATGATTACTTTTAATAATATAAAAATAATGTACTAACCTATACGTTTAAATCACCAACTGATTGTGGTTTAGTTGGTGGTGGGTGTGCTTACATGTCCTAGGAATTTTTAACAGCTTCACCCATTCTACAAGGGCAATAGCTACACAAAGTTGAACAGTCTTATATGCGATGACATGATACAAATAATTGATAGACTGTTAATGATATAGACCTATTAGATACATTCGAAAAGTTTGAGTACTGCATAGACACGTTTTGAAGTTCAGGGACTTACTTGAGACAGCCTTTAGGCTATATTTGGTTTGAAGGAAAAAGGTAGGGAAAGGAAGGAAAATGTAGGGAAACCTTTACAAACCTTGTATATGTTTCCTTGCCTTTCCCTACTTTTTCCTTCAAACCAAACACAACCTTAAAGTATAGGGTACTGATCAGAAATTTTCCCTATATTATTAATAAACTCTCAAAATCCATTAAAACCCCATTTAAAATAGTAAAAAATTATGAAACAAATAGAAATTTAAGTTAATACAAAATTAATAAAAGCATTTAAAAAATTAAATTAATAAAAATCAAATTATGAATAAAAACACAAATTAATTAAAAATAAATACCATTTAAATTTAACTTAAACTAAATTCAGATAAAAATAAATGTTAAATATTTAATAAAAAGTAATACCAATTTATCTAACAATAATAACTAATTGCAATACTAATTTTTAAAATCAATTTAAATCGTGTTAAAACATTATTTTAATTAATAAAAGTTTAACAATAATTGGTAAATTGTACTAATTTTAATCATAATTGTGATTATTCTAAAATATTTTTAAATTCCATTCAAAATAATAAACTTAATAAAAGTTAATAACAATAATCATTAATTACATAGTCTTAAAATAGTCATAATTGATTATAAAATCATATAACAATTAATAATTATCATTAAAAGTTATAATTTAAAATAAATATAGACTCCAATTAAAACTATCAAAGTTATAAAAATTTAAAAACCAGTACACAATTATTAATTTATAACTGATTTTTATTAATTAAATTTAATAAGGATTCATAAACATAAAATACATTTAAATTCCAGTGACAATGCAAATTTATTAATTTCAAAATTAATTTGTTTAATTTAAAATCAATTTAAATTCCATATAAAAAATTTAGAAAATAATAAATAAACCAATAAATTTTAAAAAAGTTACTACTAAAAAAATAAGTAAAAATGTATCTAATTATAAGATATAAAAAATAATATAAATTTATTTGAGTATGAAAAACTTGTCACTCTTTTAATAAGGAGTGATAACGCAACTTAAAGTGCGATCAGAAAATCTAAAAAATAATGCTTGAGTTGGGATTGTACAAAATAAAAGCTGGGGCCAAGTCGGGTTAGGGTTGATAAAAACCCATATCGAAGCCGACCCGTTGAGATCCCCATAAGTTAGTTAGGTGAGATCGTGGAAGCCGAGGACAAAAATGACCGAAAGTTGGGACTCCGTGCCGATACCCAACACCAGACTATCGGAATGATTGGCACGAATTGGATGATGGTTGGGTAGTTGCGCTTGTCACTGGGCCCGTACGCTGTACGAGTCAACCTCTTCCATCTCTCACTCTTGAATGTACGTTACACACAAACACGAGGGAATGCTAGCAAACAACGAGTGTGGGCAAAACATACAACTACACTACTACAGACGTGGTGAGGCCCCACCAACATCTGTGTGTATCAGTTATCACGTTGTCTTTGTGCTAATCAATATTCAACGATTCCTTATATAATTTAATTTTTAATAAATATTCAGAAAGCATATTTTTGATTTCCGAGTAGATGAGCTGAATTTTGATTTTTGAATGGTCAGCTCCAAAATTTCGCCAGTTCAGCTTGACCTGCAAACTAACCTGTCCTTTCTCACATACTTCAGCTGCCGGCCGGACTTTAACATTAGAAGCCGGCGAACACTGCATCTGCATCCATAAGAAATAGTGTAGGGTAATGCATCCCCCTCTTCTATCATGGCCGGGCCTTCTCTGATTTAGCTATCTTAAGTTTTAACCCAGCAAAATCCCTTCCTTTAATCTCTTTTGTGTTCATAGATCGGCGGTTAGGTCCTAAAATCAAATGTGTCGGGACATCTATTCTTGGTGACAGACATTGGTGCACCCCTTGGTGACCCATCGATAGTTAGGTGTAGATGCGGACAAGTCCCAAGAGGGGATCTCGGTCCGTGTCATCGGCTCCTCATAAGACCGCTCTCTCTTTTTTTTCTCTCTCCTCTCTCTCTCTCTCTCGCCCTGTATCTGGAATCCTTTAAATTTCGGTCTCGTCTCGTATCACCAGTCCGATCTTCTTGTTCTTCTTCGTCGCCGCCGTCGTCGTACAGGTCCCTATTTTTTAATTCCTCCATCTCATTTATTTATCATTACCAACTAATCATGTTTTTCCGTTTTCTAGATTAGTCTGATTCGGTTTAAATTTCCGGTCGGTACAGGCTCCTCTTCACTCATATATGGTGTTTGTTTTGTGTTTAATATTCTGTTGAATCTTCGATTTTGGTTGTTGAAACCGTAACTGTGTTCGGATCCTAAGTTCCGATTCTTTCTTTCTTTTTTTATGTAGAACCAGAGAAATAATAGATCATATTACTCTTCGCATCCTAGATTCTTCTTCTTCTTCTTCTTCTTCTTCTTCTTCTTTCTGCTTTCTGCTTTTTAGAAGTTTTTATTTATCGTTTTAAAAAATAGAAATACGATGTTCGTCATTTAATTGGAGCAATATCCTTTTTAGTTAATTCTTAGGGACGGCCATTTGAAACGAAAGAGGAAGGATGTTGGGGATTATAAGGCAAAAAGTTGGTTCTGCAGGCTTCCCTGCTTCGGTAAAACCCATCATTTCTACAATTTAACATTTTCTTTTGGACGTATGCTTCAATTTTTTTCCTCACCCGGTTGAATTCTAATCTGTTTATTTGCTTTGCTTTGATTGAGTAGTTTGTTATATTGTTATCTTTTTTTGTTCTGATGGATGCTTTTTATCAGATCGTGGGACAGGCCTTGCAGAGGGTCCGGCCTACCGCATTTGCATCACGCAATTACTCGACTGCAGCCAAAGAGGTACTTGTAGTTCTAGTTAATTGCATCTTCAGTGCAATTGATACAGAATTTACTTAAGCTTTATATTCAATATTGTTATGGGTTGGTTTCTATTGTCATATATTGTGGAATTGTATGTCCGGAGAGACTCATATTCTACACCCTTATGTATGCATATATTCAATTGCACACTCACAATTTTGTTACTCCAATGCAATTAATGCACAATGCTTCATTGACAAACCTGCAATTAAGAGGGTTTTCTCTAGAAATGTCTCTTGAGATTTTGAAGAAATACTACTGATAGTTCCATTTGCCACATTTAGTTTCCTTTCCTGACTTGTTGACGAGACAAGGTAGACAAATGATTCTAGGTGAAGGATAGATTGCATATTGTGGGAGAGTTCTCCAACTAGAAAACTAGATAGAGAGGGGGTAATTTGCTTGTTTTCCTGGCACCAGAGATATTCATCTTCTTATACTTTTCTTTCTTTCATTTTTTTCCTGTTACCAATTATCTCAATATCACCAAGCCTACATGTTTCCTTTCCTCGAATATCTTCTTAATTTTTCTAGGAGCCTGGTAGCAATATGGCATGGAATTTACTACTACAATGCCTGTGCTAGTGCTACCACTAAATTAAATTGTTTGTGAAATATTATACACCATAAGCTAATATAGCATGTGGTCTTCTTTAGAATTTCATTCTTACTTTTTTCTTTTCTGGATCTAATAGCATAATGCTTCTTTCCCCTTCCAAAAAAAAACGTGTTCTTTCTTTACAATCATGATCACCGTATCTTTTGCATATTCTTTTTCTTTCCAACTCCATTGAAATAATAATCTTTCACAGATGACAGTCCGAGATGCCTTAAATTCTGCACTTGATGAGGAAATGTCTGCTGATCCTAAAGTGTTTTTGATGGGTGAAGAGGTAATTAATGAGAAAAAAAAGTTGGGAACACTTTGTCATAGCTTGCTCCTTTATTGCTTTCTTATGTTTCTTTCCTTCCTGTACTGCAGGTTGGAGAATACCAGGGTGCATACAAGGTTAGTAATACCCAATGGCTTTATTGTCTGATTTTTCCAAAGATCTTTTGGAGAAGCATAAAATGGCTTTGTCATATTTAAAGTATATATTTGCCTGGGTTTTCTTCTCCTCTAATTGTTATCTTTAACCTGCATTTTCCAGATTTCTAAAGGTCTTCTGGAGAAGTATGGTCCTGAGAGGGTTCTTGATACTCCTATAACAGAGGTTGCTCCTGATACCTAAACCATCCATTTGACGTGTTGTTTCTTTGCAGAACTATCATAGTTATTCCATTAACCATTAATATTTGTCAATTCAACATGCCTGAGCTTGCCTAAATATTCTTATTTCTCTTCCATTTTAGTTGTCTTCTTGCTTTGTTTATTTGTATTTAACTTTCCGCAGGCTGGTTTCGCTGGAATTGGAGTTGGTGCTGCTTACTATGGTCTTCGTCCTGTTGTAGAGTTTATGACATTTAACTTCTCCATGCAGGTTAGAGTTATTTTCTCATGTTCACTTTTGGTAGAAATGATATTTTAGGGCCATCACCCAATATGGGTCCTGGATATCCAGGATCTTGGGAGGGGTAGACACTGGGTATGGACCTAACTTCACAAAGTGATTACTCTCAGACTTGAACTTGTGATCTCATACTTGTCATCCCATGATATCAAGAATGCATCGAGCATGGCCTCTGGTAGAAATGATGTTGATACCCCCTTTCTATCTTGGTTTTAGGCACCAATTGAATAAAACTCACCTTTATTATAAAAAAAAAAATTCTATTTCTCTGCTATTGTTTTTGAACTGTAGATAAAAATCATCTTTCCATGAATCTATATCTAGTGGTGCCAGATTTGTTAATGAGTGATATTGATCTTTGCCTACAATAGGCCTTATAATAATATGTTATTTGTATAAATAGTGTATATGACACTGAAGGGATAGGAATTGTGGAACAGGATTTATGTAGCTTTGGACAAGATGTTTTTGAGTTTCTATAAAAAATTATTTTATACATTATGCATGGAAGTTACATTTTCCTTTATAACCTTCATTTATAGGTATGGATATAACAATGTATTAGGTGAACATAAAAAGGGTTTTGCTTCCTGTTACAAGTCTTTGTTCACCATTAAAAGAAAAGTAGCTTGTTCTTTTCTTCTGACTCACTAGCATTGAATTAAAAGTGGAAGACTGAAGGACTATAACTGTTTATAGCATTTCATTTATAGGTATGGATATAACGATGTATTAGGTTAGCATAAAAAAGGTTTTGCTTCCTGCTAAAGTCTTTGTTCACCATTAAAAGAAAATTAGCTTCTTGCTTTCTTCTGACATACTAACATTGAGTTCAAGGTGGAAGACCGAAGGACAGACCATAAGTGTTAATAGCAGCCTGAACCAACTTGAGCGAGGGGATGAGGGATGGGAAGGGATAGGAGTAATTGACTGTGGTGGAGGTGGTGGAGAAAACATCTTACTGTTTTTATGATATCTCAAGAAAATAGAAGCAGAAATGACCTTTTACATGAAGAGTGACAAAGATTATCTTTCTAGTGGTGTATCTTAGACATATATTATATAATAATATAAATATTTTTTTTGAAAAAGGTAAAGTAAAAGCCCCAAAGAAGGAGCAAAGACTTAGAACAGACTCTCAGATTACATTACAATTCAAACACACTATTAGACCTTAATGGAAGCCTTTCACGCCTGCAGTCCAAGACACTAATTTTCCCACTGCACATGGAACAAGACAGTCTGCCTCCTTTGCTTTATTTTGAAAGATTCTTCTGTTTCGCTCTGTCCATATGGAACTGATCACAGCTGCAGGGATAGCCCACCAAACAATTCTAACCAGCTTAGAAAGAACTTGCAGATCCCAACTCCATAACAATTCTGATACCTGCTTTGGCATGACCCAGGAAATACCTTCAGAAGAGAGGAAATGGCTCCATAATCCTGCCACAAAAGGCAATGGATGAAAAGATGGTTGTTGTCCTCCTCTGCTTGACCAGACAACTCACAAAGCATGTTCTGAATCAGAATTCCTCTTCTTGCCAGATTCTGTTTAGATAGGTTTTGTTAGAATGTTAGAGTGATGTTCGGCTGATAAGAGTTCTTATTAGCCCATTCTTATGTTTAACTTATCTTGTAACTGGGCTTATGTTAATGGGCCTAATCCTGTTTAATGATTTAAGTCATCTGGGTGTCCCATCACTAATCAGGGGCATCCCAGTAATTTCTTGTACCTTGTACTATATTCATCTATAA